GATTTTGATAAGTCAAGATTACACCTATCTTGAGTAGTGGTGCACTGCAGAGGCTAGAAGAGAGATTTCAGGATCAGGCAGATTGCTGGGCTCCGTTACTTCCTTACTCCGTGTCCTTGGAAAGCTACTTAGCATCTCCACGCCTGGGTTTCCTCATTAGCAAAGCAGGCATACAAACATTGTTGTGAAGAGCAAATAAGATAAAGCACCTAGAACAATACCTGGCACATGCTGTATTCTATAAATGGTACATTGTTTATTATTACATTTTGATTTAATGACAGAATTTACTGCAACAATGCAGTGCCAGACGCATTCTCTACTTGTGAGTTAATGGCTGTTTTATGGGCAGAAATCTCTGTTTTCCAAAGCGCCTAAGTAAATCTGGATGCAATATGTTTAGAGACACCTAACTTTTTCAAACCACGGGAGTTGCATTTAATACTGAAAATGTCACATGTCCCTGTATTTTCCAATAAATATTGGAAGAATTGATTTGACATTTTGCACTAAACGGAGATGACAAATATTCTAAGTACACTAAGACTCCCTGAAGATTTCCAAATGCAAATAATACATTCCGAAAGCTTCCCAAACATTAAATACAGCCTTTAATTTTGATTAGTTATTACACATTTATCTCAATGGGCACTTCAATATATTCTATCTCAATGTTCTTTAGAAATATGACTGAACATTAAATCTATTTAGTATTGTCTGTGTTTTGAGAAACTTCAAGAAGCTGTTTTTAGAAATCCCAGTGTTGTGACCAAAACTATATAGCATTGATGCCATCTGTTTTTCCATTGTGAGATGCTTATTTTTAAGGGCTCATATACAGCAAATTTCAATTACATTTTAGAAAACACATGTATAACACAGGTAAATTTAAGTGTAATTTGTGTTATAAAACAGTGTTGCTCGTGCAATAGCACCTAATCTCAAAAGCTATAAAAGAACTGCAAATTTGTGGCAGAGTCACTGTGTTTGAAAACCAATCCCAAACTACAAAGAAACAGTTTTAAATTTCAACACATAAATGAGGATAAATGGTTTCACTTGGAAATTTTATATTTAAAAATTTGTAACAGCTCTAAGCAGTATACAAATTGAGAAAATATGTAATTACCTATTAATTAAGAACTGAAAAATCATTATGCAGATTATCAAATACCTTTGTTTTATCTTCCTACATATGGCTAATTGCCTTTCAGCTGGCCTCCTCAACTTGAATTGTTAGTAATCTAACATCAGGGGCCGGCGCCGCGGCTCACTAGGCTAATCCTCCGCCTAGCGGCGCCGGCACACCGGGTTCTAGTCCCGGTCGGGGCGCCGGATTCTGTCCCGGTTGCCCCTCTTCCAGGCCAGCCCTCTGCTGTGGCCAGGGAGTGCAGTGGAGGATGGCACAGGTGCTTGGGCCCTGCACCCCATGGGAGACCAGGAAAAGCACCTGGCTCCTGGCTCCTGCCATCGGATCAGCGCGGTGCGCCGGCCGCAGGGCGCCGGCCGCGGCGGCCATTGGAGGGTGAACCAACGCAAAGGAAGACCTTTCTCTCTGTCTCTCTCTCTCACTGTCCACTCTGCCTGTCAAAAAAATAAAAAAAAAAAATAAAAAAAAAAAAATCTAACATCAGGTATCCAGAAATATTTCAGTACAGGGCCAGACAGTAAATATCCTGAGCTTTGGAAATCATATGATCTTAGTCTCAATGACTCTGCTCTGCTACGTAAGCATGAAAGTAGGCATAGAAAAAACCACAGATAATATGTAAACAAATGGTTATGGTTGTATTTCAATAAAACTTTATTTATTAAAATACGTGGTAGGGGGGCCAACGCTGTGGTGCAGCGGATTAAAGCCCTGGCTTGCAGTACTGGTATCCCATATGGGCACCAGATCAAGTCCCAGCTGCTCCCCTTCCAACCCAGCTCTCTGCTATGGCCTGAGAAAGCAGAAGATTGCCCAAGTCCTTGGGCCCCTGCACCCACGTGGGAGACCCAGAAGAAGCTCCTGGCTCCTGGCTTCAGTTGGGCACAGCTCCCATCATTGCAGCCAACTGAGGAGTGAACCAGTAGATGGAAGACCTCTCTCTCTCTCTCTCTCTCTCTCCCTCTCTCTGCCTCTCCTCTCTCTGTGTAGCTCTGTGTGTGTGCAAATTGTTGAACACTTTACCTGGCATAGAGTTAGTCTTCTGTGTATAAAATTAATCGAAAATGGATCTTAATAGAGAATAGGACTGGGAATGGGAGGAGGAGGAGGAGAGGTGGGAGTATGGGTGAGAGGACGGGTATGGTGAGAAGAATCAATATATTCCTAAAGTTGTACTTATGAAATGCATGAAGTTTGTACTGCTTAAATAAAAGATTTCTTTGGGAAAAAAAGAAAAGAAAATATGGCAATAGCCAGAACCAATATATCCAAGAGAAGACCTGGAAAGAAACAGCAATATTGTTTTTTTTTAAAGATTTATTTTATTTATTTGAAAAACAGAAAGAGGTGGAGACAGAGAAAGGTCTTCCATCAACTGGTTCACTCCCCAAATGGCCGCAACAGCCACATGGGTGCAAGAGCCCAAGCTTGGACAATCTTCTGCTGCTTTCCCAGGCACATTAGCAGGGAGCTGGATTGGAAGTGGAACAGCTGGAACTAGAACCGGCACTCATATGGAATTCTGGCACTGCAGGCCAGGGCTTTAACCTGCTGCACCACAGCACCATCCCCAAGAAACAGCAATGTACTTTTAAATACAATCTTGCTGCAATTCAACAGCCTTTTCTTAATAAAACATCCCAGAGATATTGGACAAGGAGATGGGATCTGAGAGTCTTGCTCAATATCATATTGAATTTTTCTCTGGAATACCAGAAATTCTAGACCAATCATAGTAAGCCTGGGCTTGAAAGGAAAAAATCCATTATATTCACATCAGTTTCTAGAGGATAGATTTCAATATTCGTAGTTAAGTTTGCCTGGTTCATCACTACTCTATTTGTGCACTGCTTATCCTATACTAACTAGGACTGACAGACTTTGCAGGACAGTTAAATTATTAAAAGACTGCTTTTGGAAGTTAGGAGTAAACAGAAGGACAGGAAATTCTCCATTTCCTGATTTTTCAGGACAGAGTATAGTCGTGGTACGCTGACAACCATAGAGAGCACAGGGGATGTTTCATAGAAAGTTGGTGTCTTCTGTGATGCCTAAAATAGATGCCAATAGTTATTTGCTAAATCAAAGTGTGTTACACAGCAAATTCTATTAATTTCTAGATAAAGATATATTTGATTCTTACAATTTTGACTATTCCATATTTTGGTTGCTAGTTCCCAAATTTAACATTTTTTACAATTATCACATATTAACTTGCATTGGTAAGATATGATTCACATGCTGTATTTGTATTTTATAAAAACAGAAGTCACACCAAATCACAATAAAACTATTCCTTATAAACAGTCCTCAAATAATTGGTTTGTAAAACTTATGATAGAAAATGTACAATAAATATAAATAAAATACCATAAAGGGAGGTCAAATTATCTTCCAATAGATTAATAACATGACATAATGGTCATACAGAGTCTTGCTCATGGGAACTCAAATATTATTAACTATTTAATTGGTCTTCTCATAGCTCCCTACATTTAGACATTCATGGATAGGTTATCCATTCTTAGGAACCTGAATATTTCTCTAAATCTGTAATTCAACTGGAGCAATGAAGCCAAATCTTTTCTCTGAGAAAAAAATACCTATTCACAGGATCTCTGTGGGAAAAGCAGAAGACTGGGTTTAAGTGGCCTGATGCAATTCTCTATTTTTATAGATGAGGAAAGTGTGACGCATGGAGCCATTTAAGAAAAATGATAACAAAAGCACAGTAGCAGGGGTGCACCGAGGCCAAGTGCAAATGGTATTAGACGTCATGCAGGAGAGGTATGGCAGCATCTCAAACGGGTGGGTGATGAGGTCAGATTTCAGAACTATCACTCTGCTGGTGTAAAATTCATCCAACACACCAGCCATATATACTAGGGATCTTCAAAAAGTTCATAGGAAAATGTGTATTATGAAAAAACTTTGCATGAATTTCAAAAGTGTTTTACCCCAGAATAAACTTATTTCTTCATTGCACTTTTTCAGAAAGTGTTTGAAGTAACATGTTAGTATTCCCTGAAGTCCTGTATTCTCATCTCCCCATGCTTTGGTGAATTATTCCCTCTGATAGGAACGGACTCCCCATTCAAGCACCACTCAGCCTAAGGATGGCCTCCTGTTGCAGGCTCCCTGTAGGCAGTCAAATTGTCTTTTTTGTTCCCTCAGTAGCCATGTAGGACACAGTACAAAGATTGTTGATGTATCTGATTACTCCATTACCCTGAGAGTTCTTTAAAAGGGACATATTTTGAATCGCAAATACCCAGCATGGAGTCTAGTGTACTAGGTACTCAGAAAGTACTTATTGCATATGGGCAAAGCTGTAACACTGGGTTAAATTCTGCCCTCTCACCTTGCTACATAACTCATACAGCTGGATATTGGCTTCTCAGCGCATCCTCAGTCACCTTTAGAACATCCAGAGCTCTTTTCCTATTTTTTAAATATGCAAAAATTGTATATATTTATAGTATACAGTATGATTTTAAATGTTTACAATTAAAGCATTGTGGAATGGCTTGAATCAAGCTACTGAACATATGCATTATCTCACACACTTATTAGTGATGAGAATACTTAAAATCTACTCCCTTAGCAATTTTCAAGTATGCAACATATTGTTACTAACTGTAGTTTCCACATAGCGTAATAGATCTCTTGAAGTTATTCCTTCTACCTAACTGAGATGTTACACCCTTTGGCCAACATCTGCAACATCCCGCTTCCAGCCCGGAGCAGCCACCATTCTACTCCCTACTTCCATATGTACAACCGTTTTAGATTCCACTTCTAAGTAAGATCACGCGATATTTGTCCTCTATGCCTGGCTTATTTCACTTACCAATGCCCTCCAGGTTCATCCATATTGTCGCAAAGGACAGAACTGTTTCCTTCTTTTTAAGGCTGAATAATATTCTGGTGTATATAGGTAGCACGTCTTCCTTATCCACTCCTCCATGGATGACCGCACATCCTGGATATTGTGAGCTTTCATTTCAGTGTCACGCTGACCTCCAGATATCTCAAGCTCTAAAATTCTCCTTTCCTCTGCCTTTCAAGACCTGCTCTTTGCCTTCTAAGTACTAAAGCCCAGTACTGGCCAATGACTCAATTTTCTTTTTGTGAGATAATCCTTAAAATTCACAGGGAAATAGCAAATGGTTGAATTTCAGACACAGCGACTAATCATCAGGGGCAGGAAAGAGAGACATTTCTTTCTTTTGGTGTGCAGCCAGTGTCTCCTAAAATCATATTCTCAGAGTAGCTATCTGCTGTCCATATGTGGATACACATGGATGAACAAAAAAATTCCCTTCTGAAAAGCACTTTTCCAGCAGTTTTTTAAAACTTTATTTATTTATTTACTTACTTACCTACTTACTTACTTAAAAGGGAGAGAGAAAGAGGGAGAGAATCTTCCATCTACTGGTTCACTCACCAAGTTGTCAAAAAGGCAGGGATTGGACCAGGCTGAAGCCAGAAGCCTGGAACTCCATCCAGGTCTGCCACATAAATGGCAGCAATCCAAATACTTGGACCATCTTCTGGTGCTTTCCCAAGTGCATTAGCAGGGAGTTGGATCAGAAGCAAAGTGACCAAGACTCAACCATCATTCCAATATTGGATGCCAACAACTGCAAACAGCAGCTTAATCTGCTACCCACAATGGTGCTCCCACATATACTTTTTAGTTGCACATATGAGGTTTGCTTTTTCAAAATGACTATAACATCATTAACTTTTTATGTGTGGTTGGAGTTATGTTTTCTACTTACAGAAAAAAAATCAGACACACACATTAACATGGATGAATTTCAAAAACAATAAACAAAGAAAAAAGACAGTCATCAAAGAATAGATGCGGTATGATTTCATTTATTTTACATTCAAAAATTCATAATAAAATTACATATAATTTATGGATACATTCATAAGTAGCTAAACTATGTAAGAAAGCAAAGAAGCAATTAGCATAAATTTCAAGCAAGTAGTTATCTCCATGACAGAGGCAGGGCAGAAGGAAGGCTCACCTTCTAAGGCAGCAAAATAGCATGTTCTTAGCTAGGTAATGGATATTTATTACATTATCATTTTTAAGCTATACATATCTTCTTTCACATGTATTTCAAATATTTTCACAATAATAAAAGAAAATTAAGTACCAAAAAAACTGTAATAAGAAAATAATAACCACTCAAAAACCCACCTCCCAGAGTTAACAATTAACAAGATTCAACACATCTCTCTTTTTATACACATGCACATGTACACATATAAAATTTTGCATGATGGGTTTAGCTTGTGGCATAATAGATTAAGCCACCTCCTACAAATCAGCATCCTATATAGGCACTGGTTGGAGTCCTGGCTGCTCCATTTCCAATCCAGCTCCCTGCTGGTGTACCTGGGAAAACAGTGGAGGATGACCAAAGTCCTTGGTAATTACATAGCTGTGCAATGTACCCCATGACATATAATCAAGTGAGAAAAAATACTTTGAGTTTACTAAGAAGTCACAGAAAAAGGCATGTTCTTACCTAATGTGATTAAATATATTTCCCTTGCATCTCCAGAATTCACACAAGAGAATTTTACGTGTTTCAAATAGTTTTCCAGAGAATATCACACAAAATTTACCTCTTACAAGAAAGTAAATTTAGCTATATAACATCTCTTTAATCCACAAAGCCAGACTTTTCACTTAGAAGTCAAATGTTCCTTTCCTATGGAATAAACATGCCAAAAATCATATTAATCATTTTTAATACTGAAAAATAAGTGAATTACATCAGAGCCCATAAAATATTGAAATTGGAGAAGTGGTTTTCTCACTTTGATATTCATCTCATGTGTAAGAACATAGATGCATTTAGAATTGGTTATAAGATTCCTAGTGATGTCTCAGTCATGGTAACATTTATGAATCCAAATTGCCTGTAACTATTATGCTAGCAAACTATTGGTTTAAACTGACATGCGTTCTAAACAAAATTGCTCCCTTGAACAACTGCTTGCTAGCCAGAGCCTCAGTAAATATTTCCTATGAACTTGAATTTTCAATACAGCAAAGCCACAACTGGTAATCATACACTTCACACTCATGGCTTTCTATAAATGTTTTAGTTTGAAATAATAAATGCTTTTAAAAATACCCCCACTTTGATAGGAAAACCCTATTCACCTCACAGCTCATTCCCACTTTTTAGTAATTTCTCTCTCATCAAGTTGACTCAAATTGAAAACATATCACCAAGAGCTAAGCCACATAACAGCCTGACATAGGTTCCAGAATTGGGGGCAGGGGGCCAATGAGTGGGACCTGAGAACTCATGGAGAAAGAGATTTTTCTTATCTAAACATGATCATGAGTTTGGGAATGTGCTCACAAAAGTAATGCTAGCTGAAGAGAAATTCCTTGTGGTTCCAACCATCCCCCAAACCATGCTTTTATCGTTCTGAAAGATTGTAAGACTCCACACCTACAATTCAAGTCTCTCATTTCCTCCTAACTAAACTAAATTGAATTTCTGTAGCTATGGCTGTTTAAAAGGAGTTTCCCTTTTTAAGCAAATGCAATGTGCACAGACACTTCCAATTCATTAAACATGTCACTCACAATGCAGGAGACTTTCAGAACAGCAGTAACATGCTGGGCTTTGTGAGATTTGAGGGAAATACTATGATTAAGGTGAATTAAGGTGAATAAAAATGTCTGATTTCAACCAAGAAAATTATATTGAAGAATTAGAAATGGAACAAATTTGTGTCTGGAGGCAGATGAGGATTCTAATATTCAGAGGACCTTCTTGGCTATGTGCTATTGTTGGCATAGGCCTCTACTAACCACCCTCAATGAACTAATTGTCAAATGACACATTCTCTAGGAAAAGAGTTCATAGACTCCATGCAAAACAACTGTCCTGTTACAAATGACATTCATAGGTGGGCTCAAAGTAGGTGAAGTATGAAGCAAAATAGAAAGAAGATAAATTTCCTATTACATGCAATACCATACAGGCTTCCACTTACCGCCAATAACACTTTCCACTTATAAACGTGAGGAAAATCCACCATGTTGAAATTTTATAGATTCTATGTATGACAATTATAAGCTAATCACAAGTTTATGAATTGGCAGTGCCTTTAATATTCTCTTCACAAGGTTCTTACCACAATGAGTTGAACAGTAATAGTGCATCTTTAGGCCAAAGGAAAAGATTGCACATTAGTTGGAGTGTCGGTTCATAGGAAAGGGATAAAGTTGAATTATGAAGTCCTTTAAGGCTTTGACCTCAGGCATTTAGTGTGGTTACATAAAGTTCCAGATGGAAAAGGATGTCAACAACTCCCAGCAGGTTGCTCTGCTTCCTCAGCCTAAAACACATATGTATGTGTTATCATGGTCATATCAATTTTTTTTATTTTAAAGTTGTTTGATTTGGAGCTGGCTCTTTACACAGTGGGTTAAGCCACTGCTTGCAGTGCCAGCATCCCATATAGAATCCAGCATCCCTTCTGTTCAAGCTGGGTTCAAGTCCCTGCTGCTCCACTTCCCATCCAGCTCCCTGTTGATGACCTGGCAAAGCAGCAGATGACCCAAGTACTTGGGCTCCTGCATCCACGTGGGAGACCTGGAAAAAGCTCCTGGCTTCAAGCTTCAGCCTGGACCAGCCCCAGCCATTGCAGCCATTTGGGGAATGAACCAGAACCAAAGGATGGGAGATTTCCTCTCTCTCTCTCTCTCTCTCTCTCTCCCCCTCTCTCTCTCCCCTCTGTGTGTGTGTGTCTCATTTCTCTGTGTGTGTGTGTGTAATAAATAATCTTTTTTAAAAAGTTGTTTGGCTTACTAGAGTTTTTTCCTTGTATTTTAGTGTCTGAATTGCACCTTCTCCTACCAAAATCATTTTTTCATCAGAAATCTTTTTAAAGCACATGTGTTAAGTGTTGGTTTATTTCCCACTTTCCACTTTATCATAACACTGCTGTTGGACAAATATTCCTCAAATTCTCCCTTTGTTCCTTCACTCCAGGCTTAAAGTCTTTAATGTTTTCCCACTGCCTAGATAATAAGATCAATGTTCTTATATGCTATTCAAGACTTCCAAGATGTAGTCTAATCACGTTCTATCTCTATCTATATCTATCTCTACCTCCATTTTTACTCCTCTCTTTCACAAATCCCTTGCTTGCTTGAGCCAAATTAGGCTTTTTTTACTGTCTCTCAAAAATGTAACTTTCTACATCCTCATTCATTTACTCAAGCTGTGTTTTGTGCCAGTATTAGTCAGCTGAGCTGCAGTAACAACCTCAAAATTGCAACGAATGTAACAGCAAATATTTCTTTGTCATTCACACTTTGTGTAGATTGTTAGTCAGTTTGAGCCAAGCCTCGTGTTCCAACTCTGTTCTATTTGGAACCCATACCCAAGAAGCTTCCACTAGCTAAAACATACTCTACTTTTGGTATAGTGCAGAAATAAAACATGCAGTCACATTTAAAGCTTCTACAGTGATATGACATGCATCAGGTTCACTCATATTTGGTCAGAGCAAAACACATATAGTTAGTCCCAATATTAATGGACCAAGAAAATAACCATGTACTTCTCCACATACATTAAAAATCACATTGCAACTAGCAAGGGTTTATAATCCTTTTACAGGGAAGGACAGAGGATAATAATTGCAAACAGGGGCCAGTGCTGTGATGTAGTGGGTTAAGCCACCACCTGTAGTGCCAGCATCCCACATGGGTGCTGGTTCGATTCCTAGCTGCTCCACTTCCAATCGAGCTCTCTGTTAATGTGCCTGGGAGGGCAGTGGAAAATGCTCCAAGTCCTTAGGCTCCTGCACCCACATGGGAGACCCGGAAGAAGCTTCTGGATCCTGGCTTCAGACTGGCCAACCTTCAGCTGTCACAGCCATTTGGGGAGTGAACCAGAGGATAGAAGAACTCTTTCTTTTTCTCTCCCTCTCTCTCTTTCTCTCTCTCCCTCTTTCTCTTTCTTTCTCTCTGCCATTGCCTCTCCCTCTCTGTAACTCTGCCTTTCAAATCAAATAAATAAATCTTTTTTAAAAATAATAATTGCAAACAAAAGTAAAATCTACCCTACTGCCTGAATCATCTACTCTCCTCTCTATCCATCTTCTGTTCAAGCCTTGGATCAAGTCCTATTGCTTATCTACCTGTCCTCCCTGAATATCATCTACTCCTCCTGGAGATATACACATCAATGTCACATAATTGACACTTACCTTACGCCACCATCTATAACAGTATTCTACCATCCATTTGTCTTGTATTCATTCCTGTCTAGAAGAGAACATTCCTGGTGGTAAGATTAAATCTACCTCTTGATAACTGCACTGAGTACATAAGCTAGATTGTTGCATAATTGCTTGTTTCTCACCAAAGGAGGGGTAGGTATTTGGTTTAGTGTTTAAAGTGCTGCTTAGGACACCCATATCCTATGTCAGAGTTCTTCGGTTCAAGTCTTAGGTCTGCTACCAATTCCAGTTTCCTGCTAATGCACAGTAAAGGAGGCAGCAGTTGATAACTGAAGTAGTTGGGCTCCCACCACCAACATAGAAGACCTAGACTGAATTTCCAGCTCTTAGCTTCAGCCTAGCTCAGCCCTGACTACTGCAAGCATTTCAGGAGTGAACCAACAGATGTAGATTCACTTCTCTTTCTCCTCTCTCTCTCCCTCCCTTTCTCTCTGCCTTTCAAATAAATAATTCTTGCCAAAGGAGATCACATTTATGTTCATTTTGATCACAAATGTGTTGATCATACTTTTCTGTTAAGGGAAATAAGTTTCATTTTCAAAGTATAGAGTTTGCCCAAAGGAATCCATTATTTAAACTATTACCAAAACAAGCACATGAAGATACAGCATGCTGAACATATATCTGAGACCTAGGCATAAAACGTGGAGTATGAAATAGAGGCATAATTATAGTGAAGCAGGGAAGGTATCTGGTAGCCTGGTATACTTTACCATAGCCTTCACACGTATGAGAGTAGGAACTTGTACAAACAGAAATGGATGATTTATTTTAATGGAAAAATAGCTGTGCTAAAAATGAGAATTCTAAAAGATATCTTGGTATTTTTAAATTGTTATATTTCAATTCTTACAACATTTACAGTTTTAGAGTCAGACACATGAGTCATATAATTCAATAGAATTTTCTACAAAAAATAATTCTTTTCAATAAAGCAGCAGAAGGCATAGTCCCACTTAGACAGGGTGCTATGTCTACAAATTTTATTTTTAATGTCTTATCATCATTCTCCCAGCGAATAAGTCCTCAGTAATTGATCTTGAATGTTGTATATTCATTTTATTGTATCACAAAGTAATACTTCTGTCAGCTATATTATTTTTTAAATCACCCTCAAACACAACTTTAATGTCAAAAGGTGACTTCTGTCATGTGAGATACAGTATTTCCATTCAACAGCCTATCGGATTCTCCCAGCACCTCCTCAGGCACACCTTCCTTGGGATCACATCTATTCTCACATTCCTGCAGGGCTCTTTTCCCTTATTTGAAGTTATATTCATGACTCTGAACAATGTAGTCATTACCTCTGCCACCCACAAATAGAATCCATTAAGAGAAAATTCATTCCAAACTCATCTTGAAGTAGTGAGGAAGGCTGGGTAAACCCCCAAAGGTCTAGAGGTTGGATTTCATTTGGAAAAGTACCCAGAAGTTCAACTGCTTATCCAGTCCTTATCCAAAGTCTGAGAGTGGACTAGGGATGTGCTGACAGGCAGGAATTAAGGTTCCACCAGGCACCAGTGAAAATCAGTTTTGTAGCCCACTGCTGTCCACTGCTTCTAAGAAGGAGAGAGGAGAGTGAGAGAAGAGGTTGAGGGAGTAACAGGTCAAGAAACCTCACTCCTAGCCTTTCAGGAGCCTCAGAGAAGAATTATTCATGCTGTGTTTCAAACATGGAAGTCCCTGATATGAACTAAGATTGATTCTGAGAGAGAGCCCATTTATAAATAATGTTGAGATTACTTTCCTAAAAATAATTTATTTTCTGATGTGGATACCAAAAGCTTTGAGATGTAGTAAGGCACCATTTCCTTGAATTTAAAAGATGATGTTTGAGGCCGGCGCCGCGGCTCACTAGGCTAATCCTCCGCCTAGCGGCGCCGGCACACCGGGTTCTAGTCCCGGTCGGGGCGCCGGATTCTGTCCCGGTTGCCCCTCTTCCAGGCCAGCTCTCTGCTGTGGCCAGGGAGTGCAGTGGAGGATGGCCCAAGTGCTTGGGCCCTGCACCCCATGGGAGACCAGGAGAAGTACCTGGCTCCTGCCATCGGATCAGCGCGGTGCGCCTGCCACAGCGCGCCAGCCGCGGCGGCCATTGGAGGGTGAACCAACGGCAAAGGAAGACCTTTCTCTCTGTCTCTCTCTCTCACTGTCCACTCTGCCTGTCAAAAAAATAAAAAAAATAAATAAATAAATAAAAGATGATGTTTGGAAATGAAGAAAATTATATTTGGAAAAAGAAAGAGGCAAAGAAGGCTTTATTTATTACAGAATCCCAGAGATGCCTAGCAGGTACTTAATGTTGGGGTAAGTGGGAGTAGTGGGTTGATAGGTCTTAAATAATTCATCAATTATCCAGTGGAAAACCAAAAATGTCTTTGTATTTTTTAATCAATGAGATTGGCATCTTGATCCGAACATTGGTAAAAACAGCATTACTAAAATAACTAATTGAATTCGGTCAATAGAGGGAGCTGAAGAATTCAGCCTTAGAATGGAGCATAGGAGTAGAAACTTATTTTAACAGATTTACCATCTCACCTTTTCCATACAAGAGATTAAATCATCCAAGAGAAGAGTTGGATGTTCTATTTTAGGCACAGCCACAGGAAAAACAAAATTATATCCCCATCTCTTTGTTAATAATATTGGTCAGTGCTGGTAAATTATTTCTCATATGTGACTCAAAGAAAAAAATTAAAGTGACTGACATCCTATCTCTGATGCCTAATCCCATGCACTGGCCTCTTGGTGGAGTCCTGAATGGGTGCATGTAGCACCAGAGACAAGCTAAAATCTTCCATATGTGTCCTTGCTCTCCCTGAAAACCATTCCCTCCTAGAAGAAAACAAAAAAGATTCTGTTTCAACAGTGATATGTCTTCTCAAACCTCCCAGAAATCTAGATTATGAGATTCTCCTCAGGCCCATGCTGGCTATTTTGTTGATGAAGAGCACTAAGAAAGAACAACAAAGAGGGAGTTTGATTACAAGACCAAAAAAGCCTACATTTTCATATGTGTGCTTTTCTAGGATTTAAGGACACTAAACACATCGATGAATATCCAGCTCCTTCAGGAAAGAGAAAAAGGCAAAACATTCTAAAAGAGGAAAAACCTGAACTTCCTTGTGCATGTAAAGTGCTAAGGAATGTAATGCCCAGTTACATTATATAATTATCCACAGGAATTCAGCTTGCTAAGAAAAAAAAAGGAAATAAACATTGTTATACCTCCAGGGTTTTGTTTTTTTGTGTGTTTGTTTGTTTTTAGGGTTTATTTATTTATTTAAAAGGCAGAGTTACAGAGATGAGGAGAAAAAGAGATCTTACATTTGCTGGTTCACTCTCCAAATTGTCCCAAAGGCCAGGGCTAGTTCAAACGGAAGCCAGGAACACAGAGCTCCATCCAGGTCTCCCATATGGGTGGCAGGGGCCCCCATATGGCAGGACTTGGGTCATTTTCCACTGCTTTCCCAGGCATTAGCAGGGAGCTGAAGCAGAGCTGCTGGGGTTGAACCAGTGCCCATTTGGAATGCTGGCATCACAGAAGAGCCTCAACCCATTGTGCCTCAACGCTGGCTCTCCCCAGGGTGTTTTTTTTTTTTAAAGGTGTATTGAGTAGGTGCAGTCTTAGCATGCTGAGATAATACTTCCATAGTATTAGATCTCATTCTGATAGAAAACAAGGTGGGGCCGGGGCTGTGGCATAGAGGGTAAAGCCACCGCCTGCAGTGCCAGCTGCTCCACTTCCAATCTAGCTCTCTGGTGTGGTCTTGGAAAACAGTAGAGGATGGCCCAAGTCCTTGGGCCCCTGCACCCACGTGGGAGACCCAGAAGAAGCTCCTGGCTCCTGGCTTTGGATCGGCGCAGCTCCGGCCATTGCAGCCAATTAGGGAATGAACCAGCAGATGGAAGACCTCTCTCTCTCTCTGTCTCTCTCTCTCTCTCTCTCTCTGCCTCTCCTTCTCTCTGTGTGTAACTCTTTCAAATAAATAAATCTTTATTTAAAAAAAGAAAAGAAAAGAAAGTATCTGAGGAGCTTCCAGGAAACAATGTTGCATAAATGATAGAAAATTTGTTTTCTTCTGAAACTTACAAGACTTTTATCATCCTTTCTCTCAGAATTACAGAATCACAAAAAGTCAAGCTATTTTGAAGGAAAGAAGAGAAGAATAGGAAGGAACAGAAGATTATATCAAGTACAACATGAAGGGAAAGAAAATAACAAAGCATATTTCATAAATAAGGACAACTTCAGTGCATGAAATGCTGTGACAATCACTCCACAGAAAGAACAAGATCCTCTCTCCCCATTGTCAGAAGCAGTAGCTAAACAATTGCTCCACCAGGTGCATTGTTTCCATCTGTCTAATGGTTCAATGGCTTGGGTTCTGAAGTCCTGTGGCTTGTGCCCATATTCCAGCTCCACCATTTATCACCTTCATGACTTTGAGTAAATTTCTTGACTTTTTTGCCTTAATTTCCCCATCTGTAAGAAGGAAATAAAAATAAACAGCAAATGTACAGTGTTATTGGGAAGATTAAATTAAATAAAATATCTAGAATATATATGATAGAATGCATGGGATATAGTACCCAATATATAAATGTAGGCTAGCATTGCATTTCTGTTTGTCACTATAATAGTTCTATAAAGTTATTCTTATCACCTTTATAGGGGATGATAGAGTTAAGGAGATTACATAACCTGCCCAATTTCATAGTAGTAGTATTCCAGACTATACATGTATCCTGGAAATATCTAACTCCAAGTGAATGCTCTTTCCCCTGTACTACACTGTTTCTCTAATCTCTCAGGATGCTCGATGTGAAAAATGCAGACTTAATTTAAGGCAAATAATCAACCAATGGTATATATGACTGGGAAGCTAGTATTCTAGCAGTTTGAAAGAATGGATGATCTTCCCAGAGTGCACAACTTAAAACCAGAAGCTAACATTCTTAGACTATCTACAGTCAATCCCAAGCATTCAATGACTCCTGAAAAGACAAATGTCTTTAAAGTGTGCATAAGATTCACGGTCTCACTAAAGAAGCAGCTTTTAACTTGTATTGCGTCTTGTATCCCCTAAAGAATCAGATCAAAGAAAAGGCCACTTTCCCTGGGGAGAAAAATACACATACAAGTACATACTCTCAAAATATTTATACAACTTCAGTGGGTTCAGGGACTTAGAAAGTCCATGGCATTCCAGTGAGGAATCCCCATTCTGAAATGCCTTGAGATCTGCAGTGCTATTTCATTGACAAAAACACTTTTTTTCTATCTGGCTGTCACCTCTCTGCTTTGTTTTGCTTGTTTCTGTTTGATTTCTTTCTCTTTACTCCCCACAACCACAGCCACTCACTCTTTCCTATTTTTCCCCTCTTGCTCTTCCTTTCTCAATTGTCTGCTCCCTCCTACCTTGGCGATCAAACAGAGACACTATCAGAGTCCCTCTCCCATCTCCTCCCTCCCCTCTGTATCCTTCCTGACCAGCTGAATCCAGAGAGGAATCCGATAACTTATCAATAAGCGTGGCTTGCTCCATAGAAATATTGGCCAACCTCGGAAACAGTCTTTCTTTGAAGGAGAGCAGATCAGAACTTCTGACTCCAGCAGGGCACTGTTTATGCCTAGTTCTCCAGAAAATGCAGCCACTTTCCATTAAATATGGACAGATTTACTGTATCCTGTTTTCAAGGAAACAGATGCACTAACAAGTTAACAATACTGGTATAGATATCTGTGTACTCATTTGTCCTTTTATGTCTGTGCCTTTTTTTTTTATGGTGCCCATCAACTTGGTAGTTAAGCACTCAGAAAAAGATACATTGGAAACAGAAATGATCTTCATTTAAGCAACCCTTGCACTATAATGTGTCTGGCTCCATTAGGCTTCTTCTTCCCTTTGATGTGAAAGTAAATTCCATTTATACTAGTTTTTAATTAAATTTATAAATTTAAAAACTCAGAATACAATACTTTAGAATCCTTGGTCATCTTTTGCAATGATACACTTAGGCTTGTATACACATTCTATCTACAGTTGCTTAATGTGAAAAGTTGGCTAAGTGATTATAAGAATTGAAAGCCTCAAAATGAGATAAAATGCAAAATCTTATACCAAAATACAGAAATCTCATTCAAAGGATCTTTCTAACAATTTGCCTTTTGACACATTTTGTATATCTATAAAATTCCATCATCAAAAAAGTGGCTATTTCTATTCCTAAAAAAATAAAAATGCTTTGGGTAGCCCAAAAATTTTCTTTAAGGAAGCTTTTCAAGAGAATAGACCTTTTATTTTCCAAACAGAAGTTTCCACAAAAACCAACCAAAATGTGATGACCATGTTTTTAATAAGTCAGATCTGCCACCATAAATGTGACTCAGATAATAAATGGGACATTTTGTGAACTGCTAGGCATAGCAAACTCAGGGAGAGAGACCAATGCTTTATATGTGAATATTACACATTTAGTCCAGAGTTTTCTGAATATTTCATAGCAAGTTCATCAGTGTTTCTGCTTACCATCATGATCATTTAGGGTTCCGTTTTTGTGAGGTCACTGGTTGGAAACATTTTTTTATTAATTTTGGAAAAACTGTATAAAATGAATAGCATTGGCAAATGTTTCTAATCATTTCCTTAAAATACCAAACCACCAATCTTTATTTACTACGTTTTGCTTAGGTACATAAATCAAAGGACAATAACAAGCCTAATGTCAAAGAAACTTTTTGACACTTCATACATTTGAGCAAGCTTAGCCGATAAACAGTTTAGATGAAGTTATGGTTTGAAGTATGTTTCCCAAGAGGATTGTGGTTCATAAATTGCTATCAAGCTACCTCTGTCATTATTGATTTGAGAGGTGCTCAAGGTACCCACAGCTATTACTAAGTCTAGCATAACCTGACCTGCTTTTTCAGAGAATGATGCTTGGTTATACAAAGACAACTAATCATCCATCCTAAAAGAAACATACGGTTTTCTTGCCATCAAATATATATAAAATACATTCTAACTGAAATTTTGACCAAATAAAAAAAGAAGGTAAGGAAATCCTTTTTCAGGGATAAAATGGGTATCCAACAATTTTAATAATCTTAAAATGGTATTAAATTGGTAGTCATATAACAACCATACTGGAAAAGTCTATAAAATGAGAATTTTTAAAGAAATACATCAAACAATAGAAATTTGTATCTCATCATTTTGAGATTATAAAATTATTTATTGTATCTGTGCTCCTAAATATTCTTTACAGATAAGTGTTTTGGTAAGCTTACTAAAAATAAACCCATAGGCAAATCAAATATAATTACATAGCATATGTGTGTATATTCCTTCCCCTGCCTGAGAAAACCAACTCATCAGTGCTCTCGGTGAAGGGTGAGAGTGTGCAACAGTTTACGCTTCAACCCGACACCTCACCCTCTGCCTTATGGATTTGGGAAATCTCAGAAAAGATCAGAGCATAGATTCTGCTACTTCTTATTCAGCTCCTCCAGTCTGAACCTTTAAGGAAACACTTTAAGGTGAGTTTCAACTTGGTCGTTCTGCATTAAATTTGTCGTCAGTGACCCAGCTTCACAAGGGCACAGAACCAGAATTTCAGAAACAGACTTGAGAGTGGCATCAACTGCTAGAGATGTGAGAAACTGATGGAGTTCATCACCCTTGCTTATAAAGGGCCTGATAAACAGGCAGAGATGGAGGCTTCTTGTGAGCCCTCTTACTCATCTGAGTGGCGGAATGACTGCACATTTGACAGGAGCCACACAAATAAAAACCTGACTACATCACTGTCACATAGAGAAACCTGCCAAACATAAAGGAAGATGTCGGTTTTCTTTAAAAAATTTTTTTTCAACTATCTCCTTAGAACTTAATTATTTAAAGTACTTTGGATAACTCGAGGAAATACCACTGGAGCTTCCGTGTCCTACACATTCAGTAAACTTTCCTGATGCTTTTATAGTAACCTCTGCTAATTTTACATAATCATTCATTCAGCTATCTGAAAAAAAAAATAAGTTTTGCTTTAGCAAACTTACATTTACCTCAGCTTTGACCTTTGGTTGGAACCAGAACGTCTTAGAAAAGCAAAGATTATTTTCCTTAATTCTTAATTTGCGTATGGCTATGTAGCACTGAACTTGTAGAAACAGTGCAGATGCACAGAGTCAGTGAACTCAGGGGGCTTCCATAGCCTTGGCTGCTCATGACAAGAGCCTAGGGTGATTACTGATGCCGTAAACAAGAGTGTCAATTTGTTAAGTCAACAACAGGAGTCACTGTGCACTTACTCCTCATGTAGGATCTCTGTCCTTAGTGTGCTGTACATTGAGATTTAATGCTATAACTAGTACTCAAACAGTATTTTTCACTTTATGTTTCTGTGTGGGAGCAAACTGTTGAAATCTTTACTTAATATATGCTAAACTGATCTTCTGTATATAAAGAGAAATGAAAATGAATCTTGATGTGAATGGAAGGGGAGAGGGAGTGGGAAAGGGGAGGGTTGCGGGTGGGAGGGACGTTATGGGGGGGGAAGCCATTGTAATCCATAAGCTGTACTTTGGAAATCTATATTCATTAAATAAAAGTTTAAAAAAATGTTAAAAAAAGAAAGAAAATATGGAATTAGGATTAAAAAGAAAAAAAAAAACAGTGCAGATGCTGATGAGCAATTAAAAGGTACCCCAGACCACTGTCATTCACCCACCACTTGCACCCAGAACCAAATAAAACACCAGACCTCTTCCACAGTGTGTTGCCATTTCTAATTAAAACAGATCTTCTAATTGCTATATATATATATAGCATATATACACAGAGACGTATAATTATACAGAGATGTATAATCTATACATCTGTATGTATATATTTTTATTATATATTTATATTTAGTTATAAACCACAGAACTCTTCTCTCCTAAGAACTTTGGGAAATTTCCACAGGATTGGTTTGCTCCTTTAAAAAGCATCTGAAACTGTAGAGGGTATTTTACTCTGATAAAGAGCTTCTGACACGTAACTATTAACCTCTGAACAAAAGGTCTCCATCTATTTTTTTCTCTTGACCTCTTTTCCCACAATCCTTTGCTGTAGTCTGGCCTCACTTCAAAGACCTACAGGCCAGGAGGGGCTGCACTTCTTCTGTTTCCTTCTTCCTCCCCCACTTCTTCCTTTGTGCATTTTTTTTCTTTCACTTTTTTCTTACAACTTACATGCCTTTGGTAGAAAAATGTCTAATCTCTCTATCTTCCCACAACTTTATAGTTTGCCTAACCGTATGCCTAGCTCTTTTATTTCTTTTCTTCAAGGAAAAGTCAAAAATTTGCCTGTGGTGGTTTAAAATGGCAGAGTCTCAATTTTGGAGCTATCTCTATGGTACAATTTGGAATGATCATATTTTTAGTAAAATAAAGAAAACTTACCAACAAATTACCAGGAAAATCAAATCATTATACCCAAGACATGGTTTCTTTGAATCAAAGAGTAAAAGAGCCTGAAAGGATGTTGACTGTCTGGCCTCCTCCTCTTTTGATGATAACAGACTCACAGAGACCAGTTTGTCCAAAGCCATGGGGTGTTTGTGAAAGAGGCAGAAACCTCCTATTCGGTCCAGCACTTTCTGTTTTGACACCAAGATTTCCCTGCCACTCTTTGTCTTGAAGGTTGCTAGAGGAATAATGCTTCCTACCTGTCATTTTTGGACTGAAAGAACATGTGTGTAATTTCGGCATTTACAAATCCACTCAGATACCAAGCACTTTGGATTATTCGTTCTGTTTGGCATCAGACTTCTTTCTATTCCTTTTCTCCTTTGTCCTGAGAAAAGAAAAATATAATCAAACACCTGCACAAAAGATTGATCTTATTAAAAATTAAATTTAGAACTGCAGGATTTCAGAGCTGACGGGAAGCTTGAAGTCTTGTAGTCCCTGTTTCTCACTTTATATTTGAGGAAACTGGTCCCAGGTTAGCTGCTTGGTTAGTAAATTGGCTGGAGCAGCAGGCCAGGTTTACGACTTGACTTGACTTTCTTTCTACTCACATCTAATGAAGAATCTGGATATTACTCTGCATTTCTAGTAATACATTTAATTTACTGTGTTCGTGTGATTCTCACCTAATTAGTTTTGTTTTTCAGGCATCTATGATATGTAATAATCAGGATGTCTCATAAACTCACTAAATCATTTAATTACTCCTAAAATTTTTTTATAATTACAACTTCTCATGCAATGCCTACCACAGTCTCACATATCGAATATCAAATTTATCACTCTTCTGGGCAATAGCCGAAATGTACAAAATTTCTTTGGTGCTATATTTTAAGGAAAATTTCCACTTTGGCTTTTTAACTTTTTCTTCTCCTGGGTTAACCATAAGGTAACATTGGTTTAATTTCATTTCAAGAAATTTTTTGATAAACGTTTTCAGCTAAAGGTTTAAGAATTTTTAAGGAAAACAGCTTGTCTCTACTCATGTTTGTTTTCACCTTTGAGAACAAAGTCCCACGAGTCAAAGTTTATAGTCAATCAAAAAAGGGCACATTACTTTCCCTTTTAATGGTGGTACAGGGACTTTTAACTTTCCTGGAGGCTTTGCTTAGGGGTTTATACAGAGCAGAACTTCCTTAACGCTAGTAATCAGACCCACAGGACACGTGTTAATTGTTCCTGACATGTAAAACTATCTACACTATCTCAGCTAATAATACCATTGCAGACATTTCACTTTTGAAAAGCACAGTATTGAAACCAATTACGCATCTGTTGATTTACCTTCTCCCACCTTCCCAACACATTAATGTGGCTCACTCCAATAATGTCAAAGTTCTCATTCTAAAAGAGCAGCAAAGGCCGAAATACAGGATTAAGTTATGGCGGATGCCATCACCAGCTGACTAGAGAGGACTGTCAAACCGAAATCCATTTAGGTATACTTGACAGTGTAAAATCCTACAGAAGCATATAGTGGATTCCATTTCATGATAGCTAGTAGCTCCAAGTAAAGCATAATTTAAAGAGTAAGTTGCTCTAAGAGTGGTTACCATTGATTGCATTGAAAAATCAGTGTAAGATGTTGGTATTTATTTATACATGTGCTTTGAAATTGGTATTTATTTATACATGTGCTTTGAAATTTGTTACATTAATGGAAATTCTTGTTGAAAGAAATAGAAACCTGCTCTGATTATCACAAAAGGAAAAAAAAGTGGGAGGGTACTGAGTGGAAGCACATTGTGGGAGGCTGGAAGAGCAGGCTGGGAAAAGGGTCAGGAGTCTATGGTCAGCCAGAGCTGGTCAGCCAGACAGGCAGGCAACCAAAGCAATTCCACTGCAGCTGCTGCAGTCGTCAATGCACCTCCATCAGTCACCTGCCTCTTCACTAATTGCTCAAGACTCCAAGTCCCAGAAGATGGTAGTCCATTGCCCAGTCCAAATCAAATGGCTACCTCGGGAAAGAACATGGGACGGAGGGACGGGGTAGAGCCTGCGATGTCTCCTTAGCCAGTTGTGTGACACCCCAGGACTCCACACAGCAAAGCTTCCCCAAAATGGAACCAGAGACTAACAAAAAAGGAAATCAGATCATGAAATTTCTCTCTTTCTCTCTCTCTCAAACACACACATGCACACACACACACGTGAAAATTTACTATAAGTTTTGATGGTTTCATATTTTTCAAAAACCTTGTTTTTTTTTCCTTTTTTTTTTTCTTTTTCTCCCTTTTCTCTTTATCAGAAACGAAGAGACGGGGGAAATAATTTTTTTTACAAAATCCTCTTAGAGATCAAGTGTTGTGTATGAGACACAAAAATAGATGTACCTCACATCAAACTCATCGCTGCAGCAAGTGCAAACACAGAGTGGTTCCTAGACTTTGCCTAACTCCAATCAGATAGTGAGACACGGCAGACAGAAAAGTTAACCCACCCTGAGATCTGCCAATTCTCAACTAAAAAAAAATATCTTCAGATTACATTTCAGTGTTTGGTGATCTTAAGTCAAATCTTTTTCATTTTGTACTTCCCGTGAATCCTGTTAGCTTATAGCTTGCTTTTTGTATAGAATACAAAATGTAAAAGCACTATTTACACATCAATTTCATTAAATGATAGTAAAAATGCAATGGAACATGAAACTTTACCCTCATGATATTTTTACCATTTGAATAAAACAATAATCAACTTTTCAAAAGTCAAAATAATACTTTATTGCATATCTGCTTACTAAAGTCACTGGGGAAAGAGCAATGAGAACTTAACAGATTTGCTTCCTTAAAGAAATGTTTCCTATAAAATACAATAATAATATAGAAATGTAAATCATATTGGTAAATGTTAAATAACAAAACTTTTAGTAAGTATTTATTAATTAAATGAGTAGCAATTACATCCATACTTGGTGCTAGTCTCATCACTTCACCCATGACACCTCATTTAATCCTTAGAGCAACCTAATGAATCAGATATTATTCTTATATACATTTTTCTAAATTTTTTATTATTTATTTGACAGGCAGAGTTACAGACAGAGAAAGGGAGAGATAAAGAGAAAGGTCCTCCATCCACTGGTTCACTCCCTATATGACTCCAATGGCCAGATCTGGGCGATCCAGGTTTAAGTCCCTCATAAAATAGAGTAGAATTTGTATTTGTGCATAACCTACACACACTCTCCTATATACTTCAAATCATCTCTGGATTACTCATAATACCCAATACCATGCAAATGCTATGTAAATAACTATTATACTGTATTGTTTAGGGAATAATGACAAGAAAAAAATACCTGCATGTTCAAAAGTGACAAATTATTAATTTCAAATATTTTAAGGCAAGATTGATTGAAACTGCAGATGTGGAAACCTAGGATACAGAAGGCTAACTACATGCACAGGTAAGCATAATCTGATGCTTTGGGGTATCTGGGTGGCCTTAGAGAATGAAGCCATCTACAGAGACATCTAATTTATAGCCAGAGGATAGCCTAATGCATAAAGGAAGCAAATCCCAGCTGGCATGCTCAATTGTATATTAATCTTTACAACAAAGAAAGAGTGTGTTTTGAGAAGTGCACTGAACAGCATTGAAGAGTACAGCAATGACTAAAAGACTTTGCAGACACAAGAGAGTTATTGGAGTCTGTTACAAACTCTAACTTCTACCATCAGTTACTGCATTCATTTGTGCCATTGAAGTCTACACTCAGATCAACTGGAACAAAAATGATGTTTACATTTTACCAATGTTTTATTTTCAATTAAACATCTCGGCTGCTATTTACATAGTTGAATGGCATGGCATTTATACCATGCAATTTGATGTTATTTCTTTGTAAATATTTCTCCAACAAGAGACCTAAGTTCAAATTAGTTGTGAAAATGTCACTAAAAATAAAATAAACTTTAATTTAACCTTGATCACAAATTACTGTTAAACTAAAGCTGGAAACCCGTAAAAATTAAAAATGGAAGGCCAAAGGAATTAACTGAGTTGCACGTGTCCCAGGATGTGACTTGTTTTTATATTGCCTGGGCTTTTGAGGGCTCATACTGACTTAAACAAGGTCAAGTTAAAGGTGATGGCAAGTGCAGCTGCAAAGGGCATGAGTGGGAAGGCGCAGTGAGGATGTAGCTCTGCACACTCACCTCTCAGGCCTCTAGTTCCATTCTGAAATAGTCACAAATGCAGTGATGCACGTTCCCCACCCACCCATAGTTGCTGCTCCCCCACCAGCTCTTCCATCTGAGATCACCACTCTGCCTGCATCTGAAACTCTCAGAGCCAGACTGGTCAGCAACCAATTCAGGATGGAAATTAAAATGGTAGAGTCTGCCTCACTTCCTTTACTTTCCATCCCCAAAGCACACTCTTCCCATGTGGTTTCTCGTTGTGTATTTCAATACAGAAAGAAGCCTAAATAAATAAGCAATGTTTTGAACTCATCTTTATCAACATCTAGACTCTGACAAAGAAATCTGAGTTGAGGAGTGACAGACTTTGAAATATGGCTTACCTTAAAGGCGCATAGTGTAAAGGCCAATAATCACAACTGTATAATTTGGTTTAAGAGATTCCAATCATGCTCCAGAAAAAAAGTTATGCCCCCTCCCAAATCTCTATCAGCTTTGCAGATGCCAGGGATCGAGGCATAGTTAACCATTCTCTTTTTTAAAAAAAGATTTTATTTATTTATTTGAGAGGCAGAGTTATGGAAAGAGAGAAGAAGAGACAGAGAGAGAGGTCTTCCATCTGCTGGCTCACTCCTCAGATGGCCACAACGACCAGAGCTAGAAGCCAGGAGCTTCTTCCTGTTCTCCCACACGGGTGCAGGGGCCCAAGCACTTGGGCCATCTTCTACTGTTTTCCCAGGCCATAGCAGAGGGCTGGGTCAGAAGAGGAGCAGCCCAGACTAGAACCAGCACCCACATGGATGCTGGCACCGCAGATGGAGGACTAACCTACTGCACCACAGTGCCGGCCCCTAACCATCCTCTTTTGAACTTCCAGCTGGCACACTTGTTTTCAATTCAGTGTAGATTCCTTTATTAGATTACTTTCCTCTGAGAATGCTAAATATAATAAAGAAAAAAGAATTTGACAAAAGGGGGGGAGTATCATCTTTGTGTCAAGGATGAGATGATGTCAAAAAGAAATTCAATAATTTGCCAATTTTGCCAACTTACTAAATTTGGCTTGGTTTGGGGGAAATAAGATAATCCTTCACTTCTTGGTTTACTTCAGAAAATTCAAATGCCTTTATCAGTGAAGCAGGTAACATAAGTTACACAGAATGAATCCTGTGTAAAGCAATAG